CCCAACCTCACTGTGATCACTGGGCTTTGGAATAGTCTTGGGGATATATGTATGTTCTTTCACTTGGTCTCCTCGGTTATCTGTGCCATTCTATAACAAAGTGCTTCTGCCCTGCTCTGATAATCTCAATAAGCAACACCAGTATAAATATGTATAAGTGTGCAGTGTTCATGTTATACTGTTTGAGACTGTGCCATCTCTCACTCTAGTCTTGACTTTTTTTGTGTATGTGTGCCTGTGCAATGAAGAGTTAGAAAGCAATGTAACAGACAAGGCAGAATGGCACATTAACTGCCATTCATGTCCTTTTCTGGCTGACCTTGGTCTGTTCCTCCCAGTATGTTTACAGTGGAAGCTAGGAAAGGGGGAACAACTTTCCAGCCCTATCTTTACTGCAAGTCAGGATTGTTCCTTGTTAATAATCTGATGAAAATCAGATTATATTTTCCATTATAGTGGGAACATTACGGTGAAAACAGCCCATTTCTCCAGAAGCTAATTTAACCAGACAGCCTTAACAACAGGAACACCCATAGGACACAGAAGCCTTTGATGACAGCTGGAGAAGCTCCATTCTAGTAGTAATTCTTGCCAAGTTCTCCATATAGTCATTGCTTATGCAGATCTCTTTGTGGGAAGGAGTAGAGCATTTGCTCACACCCTCCATTTCCTATATGGTAACCCCTTAGCTTGGGTAGGAGCTGGTGTCACAACACTCGCACACATGGCTCACACACCCAGGGAACCCCAGAATCCATGAGTACTCAAGTCCCTTATCTAAAATAGCCTAGTAGAGTGGACCCTTGACTTACAAACTCAATTTGTTTGAGAGGCCTGGTTGTAACTCAAGTTGGTCAGTTCAAGGCTCAGACTCTCCACAGCCTTCAAAGTCCCTCTGCTATATACAGGCAGATCTCAGTGTCCTCAGAGAGACATTGGCCCAGGATTTCTCAATTAACCCCACACAGGACAGGATGTTGTAATGTCCCTTCCAGAACTCTTTAAGGGTTAAATCTGTGTCTTAAGACCATCTTGAAGCACAAGCAGCCTCCATTCAGGTCTTAACTCAAGACTTTGTTCCTAAGTTAAAACTAAAATTCTAGTCGTAACCTAAGTTGTTCATATGTCAGGCCAGTCATAACTCAAGGGTCCACTGTATTTCAATATAATCTGTGTCCATCCTCCATGTACCCTAAATCCTATGTAAATTACTTATGCTAATACAGTGTCAATGCTGCATGAATCATTGTTATACTGTATTATTCAGAGAATGGTGACAAGAGAAAAATCTGTACATGCTCGGTACAGATGCAGGGTTTGTTTTGTTTTGTTCTGTTTTGTTTTTGCTGCTCTGTGGATTAAACTCAGGATGCATCTCTGAGCTCCCCCATTTTTAAATTTAATTTTAATTTAATTTATTTATTTTGGTATATTGAAACAGGATCTCGATAAGTATTTCAAGCTGACTTCAAACTCACAGTGATCTTTTTCCCTCAGCCTTCCAGGTGATAAGATTACAGGTATCCCCCATACCTTTTTATTTTATATTTTGAGGCAGGGTCTCACTAAACAGCCTATGTTGGCCCTGAACTTGTGATCCTCCTGCCTCAGCTTTCCTTCCCAAGTGGGTGCAATTACAGGTGTGCACCACCCCACTCAGCAGATGCAGTTGTTTTTTTTTTTTTTTAATTTTCTTATCTGAGATTGCCTTAATGTATGGATGGAGGACCAACTGTGTTAGAGTCCCATGTTGTGGAGGTAATTGGTCAAAATATCCAGCTTGGCTTCTAAAACCCTACACATATTAGCATTAGGCATGCACATGATTCAGTCATGGCTAATTGAGAGAATATAGGTAATTGAACTCAGGAAGCATTGAGCTAACATCCCCAGCCCTGTGCTAAATTGCCCAGCTTGGCCTCAAACTTGTAATCCTAGCAGTCTGGGAGGCTAAGGCAAGACGATCCCAAGATCAGACCAAGTCTGGGTAGCTTAGTGACTTCATGAGATTCAGTCTTGAAAAAATTTATAAGATGGAGGGTGTAGTTCAGTGTAATGCCCTGGATTCAGTCCCCACAACCACAAAAATAAATAATACAAAATAAAACATTGAGCATGATGGTACACTCCTGTAATCCCAGCACTTAGGAGACTGAGGCAGAAGGATTGCCATGAGTTCAAGGCCAGCCTGAACAATAGCGAGACCCTGTCTCAAAAAAAAAAAAGCACTGTTGGGCCGGAGATTTAGTGGTACAAGGTCCTGAGTTTGATTTCTGGTACCAAAAAAAGAAAGAAAGTAAAAACACCATTTAGGCAGCACTGTTGGGCTGAGGGTATAGCTCAGTGGTAGCACACTTGCCTGTCCTGCACAAAGCCCTAGGCACAACCCCATCATCACCAGTTAACTGCTTTTTACACACACACACACACACACACACACACACGCATGCGCGCGCGCACATGCGCGCGCGCACACACACACTGGGGATCAAACTCAGGACCTTGGGCTTTCGAGGCAGGCGTGGTGCCACTGAGCTAAATCCCTGGCCCAAAAAAATGCTTTTTAAATTTTAGCAATGCTCACGGTTCTATCCAGACCACAGTGTTTGAGCTCCTGGAAACAGCTGCAGTATTTTGTGTGATATTTCAAAACAGGTTGTTTATCCTTGGCCATGTTCGAGTCAGAGTGAGGCTGACTCTGAAACCCTGCTGCTGCCCCTACTGGAATGGGCCACCCGGCATCCATCCCACCTCTTGTTGGCACACAGTAAAGGATTAGAAGATGATGAGCTTGTGAGATAAATCTGCTCTCCATGGATTCCAGGGAACTTTGGGGGTTAGACTTGTCTTAGGGAATCTCCTGAACCCACATTGGTCAGTCATGGTATGGAGGGCTAACGGGACTACAGAGCCTTTCCGGAGGAAACCATGGGCAATTGTGTGCTTGGGCATCCTGATACTCAGCCAGAGCAGCCTGATGGACCTGCTCTTTACACACGGGAGTTTCATGGTGTCCCTGAAGAGCAGCCTCCACCCCACCTCAGTGCTGTCTGAGGCTGGCTCAGGGGCAGCAGCCATTTCACTCACGACTTTGTGATGAAGATGGTGATCACAGTCCAGAAGGGTCATTGGCATTTCTTCCATCCCCAAAACAGTTTAAAAATGACAAAATGTATGCGTATAGAACACAGGCAAAGGTGTTAATTTGGCTTTAATTTAACTTCTTTGTCCTTCTTGAAAAAATCACACATTTCTTTTAGCTCTGCTTTGTGGAAGCTAAATCTGAGACCTGGCTGGCTGCCTGCATAGTATTTTGGGAAGATGATGCCACCTAACCGCTCAGCAGCCATGTGGTTACCAATCCTAATTCAGAGCCCTCAGGACATGTGAAGCACCTTACTCATTCAACCCTGGCATCGAGCCAGAAATCTTGATTCTTTTTATGCTTGCACAGGGCAGAAACCATGTCTGTGTCTATATGTTATTTCCCTGACCACACTGTGTACTCCTAGAAGGGAAGGCTATGGTTGGATTCCCCTGTTCATTTATTCAATAGATATGTTGTGTTTTCTGTTGATTGTAAGCTAAGTGTGGTGGCATGAACTTGTGATCCCAGCACTCTGAGAGGCTGAAGTAGGAGGACCGAAAGTTTAGCCCAGCCTGGACAACAGGCTACACAGTTCTTAGGTGCCTCCTGGGGTCTGTTGCATCATGTGCACATGGTAGCTTTCTTTGTTCAGGCTGATGTAAACGGTGGAACAAGGTGAGTGAACATTTGCTTTGTAAGAAGGTGTAACCCTTCCCAGAAGAGCTGCTAAAGGCAGCGCATTTGTGCCGTCACCAGCCCCTGAAGGCAGGAGCTTCTAGACCCTCCCTGCTGCAGGGCTTTGTCTGAGCCTCCCAGCTGCCTTGGAGCCCCCATTTCAGTGCTTTCATTGTTTCAGTAAGGTAATCGTGTAAGGCGCGAAGAATTCGTTTACCCTGTAATATTTATGCCAGGAATCAACTGGTGGGTCCTCTGTTTGTAATGAAAGGCTGCCACGATGGAGATGTGTCCTTAGACGCTAACTTTGCTCATCTACACCCATCTTTCCTTCTGTACCTCTGGCTCCTAGCTTAAGATATTTCCAGGTGACAGAAAGGAAGGGAAAAAAAGATGAGTCGGGAAAAAGTTGTAAACAGGGAGACAAACCCACAAGTCTACCCTACCCCATACAAAATGCTGTTATATTAAAGGATTAAGCAGTTTTAAAATATTTTCCTGGTAATGTCATAACTCTGATCATAAAAACTATTCACATTGAGGTGACTCCTGTAAAAGAGTTCTGTTTAAGGGCATCCAAATAGGAAGGGAAGAGGTCATATTATCTCTGTTTGTAGACAATAGGATTTTATGTGTGAAAAAACCTAAAGACAGGGCTGGCTGCCATGGGCACACCTAGAACTCCAGCCACTGGACAGCCTGGGACAAGAGAGTTTCAAGTTCAAGGCCAGCCTTGACAGCATAACAAGACTCCATCTCAAAACAAAAACAGACAAAAGGAAAACCAGAGAACTGTTGGAAATGATGAGTTCACAAATTCCCAGGCACAGATGGCAGTCATACGCAGGGTTGTGGGTGCCACTGCAGGGGTGCTGGCAGTGTCCCCTCGTGGGAGCTTGAGGGGTGTCCTGCACTCTATCCAGGGAATCTACTGCACAGTGGGGAACCCAGTGTCACCCTGATCCTAACAAATACCAGACACATGGGGACCTTTTTCTCCTGGAGGCGTGGGAAGCAGCCCTGTGTCTCTGCAATAGAGTTCATGGCCATGGTCCACGGGGAAGGCTGGTGAAGGTTTTCTAGAGCCTCAGGAAGCCCCAGGCCCTCTGGACACTGTGCCTCCCCTCCCGGGATGCTGGCCAGCTGCTGGGTGTGTGAGCAGGCTGTGATAGGCTGAAGGCGGGGGCCTGGATCCTTTTCCGCCTCCTGTGTCCTGCTTTCCCGTGCCCGTGCTCAGGCTCTCCAACACCCAGATGGCTCTCCCTGAGCGAGCACACCCCAGCACCATCCCCGAAAATGAGGAGGCCCCTTGGACAGTCCCTGATGACGTCCACCAGGCTGACGGAGATGACAGAGCTGTGTCCAGACTACAGCGAAGGCACAGTGACGTCAAAGTCTACAAGGAATTTTGTGACTTTTACGCAAAATTGTGAGTCTCCCAGATTCCCCAGCCGATAAGAGTTTTATTCCAATTCCAGGGGGCTTTTCCAGGGTCATGAGGCAGCAGGTCCCAGTGGGAACAGAGCTGGGAAGAGGGGGAGCCCTGGACCTGGTGGCTCCTGGCCAGTGCCTCTCCATGATGTCGTTAGGAGGAGGCTGAGGCTCTGGCTGCCAAGATCTTTTAATGGGAAAGCAGACTAAAGCTTTTAAGATAAGGGGCAGGTTGAATGACACTCTTGAGACTTTAATTTGTAGAGATAAACATTTTTTTCTGGGGAATTATTTCACTAGTTTTTTCACTAGTTTTTCATTCACTCAGTAAACTCTTGGATCCTGCACACCGCTGTGCTGTGGGAGGAGAAAGTTGGTTTCCCGTGGGGTAACAGTGTGTGCTTGAGTCACAGAGGACCGGGACCAAGTGTGTATGTGGGGAAGCAGATCAGGAAGTCAGGTTCCTATAACTGTGTCCCTTCCCCATCCATAAGTGTTCTCACCATTGAAACTTTTTAGAGAAAATCAGTTTTTATGAAAAATTAGCCAGTTAATTATAACTAATCTAATGACACCTATAACTGTCATTCAGGACTTTTAAAAAGTAACTTCTGTCATAGGTAGTATTAAATATAAAGGCAGCTGTAGACATGCACAGTTCCAAGCCAGGACAGGAGAGGAAAGGGGACTGGGAGGGGTCAGTCGGACAGCAAGATGGCTTTTATTTCCCTCCCCCCACACATTGTTAAATACTTCTTAAAAAATATCTGTACATTATCTCCAGACCAGATTAATTTTTTTGTAAACTCATTAAATGTTACTAAGATTAGTAAGTGGAAATATTAATGTTTTATAAAAAATTATTTTCCAAAATGAAAACGGCTTAGAGGGAAGCATGGCATTGTTTTATTTCTCAAATCTTATTAATGCCTGTTTTCATAAATGACACTATCCCATATCTACTTCTGTCTTCCCCTGTGGCAGTGTGTTGTTTGGGTGGAGATGAAAGATGGTCCCTGTGGAATGTTGTTGGGCAGCAAAGACCTTCTGGCCCTCCAAGGGCTTTGGTGCCCGTACACTTTTTGGAATGCGGATGTAAGTGGGAGTGAATCAGATCAGGCCGCAGTGTTCTTCTCCAGCTTTTTTGGAGCTCCATTAAGATTACTGAAATGTGGTGAATCTTTTGAGAAGACTTAGAATGTTAACACCATATATTTTAGCAGCGTAGTCTGGTTTCCAAAATGATTTTTTATGCTTTTAAAATTTCATTCACAAAGCAGTTGTGAGACTCACTGGGCAGATGTGGGGCTCACTATACCTCTCCATGCAGGGATTCTGTGGGCTTGGGTCAGGAGAAAGGAGGAGCACACACTCCGGGACTTTGCTAAAACAGCTGCAGTTCATCTTTGTAGAAGAAAAGAAATCCTTCTCTCCCATCCCACAGTAATTCTGAAATGGCAAAGTAGACACTTGTTTTACTGTGAGCCTTAGCCAGGTTTGGCCAAGTGTGAGGCTGTCTCCTGCTTTTCTTTCTTCTTTGGTGACATTTTAATTCTGTATTCAAGACTATTAAAGTTGAGTTTTGATTGGTGTAAGATTATGAAACTGGGATTTCTTTAATTTATTTTTTTTGGAACTGGGGATTGAATTCACGACCTTGTGCTTTCAAGGCAGGCCCCATGTCACTGAGCTAAATCCCCGGCCTGAAACGGATTTCTGTATGGAGTTCCTTACAGCAAGGCTACAGAGTAGGGTTGCTGTTCTTTGAACATTCAAGAGAAGAAGGCAGGCACACTTGCTCAGGAAATAGCAAAACGTGGAATCAGGCAGGGCAAGGCTGGTTACCCTGTCTGTAAATGGAGGCTTACTGGCCTGTCTGCCTTGAGGGTCAAGGTGAGGACTCAGGAGAATGTTGGAAGGGACATTCCCCAGTGGATCCAGGGAGAGATCAGTGTTGTGCTGGGGACCAGGGACACAGGTGGAGCTTGTGCTCAGAGAAGGCAGAATGGCCAGTGACTACTCAGTGCAAGGGACCGTTTCCATCTCCAGGGCTTTTGGAAACTGCCCTCGCCCAATCCTGTGCCTGCCACAGCCATGCTGCCCTTTTTCTTTCAGGCCACGGAGGTTACAGGGGATCAAGGTCGCTTTCTCAGCCCCTCCTGTGTCCTGCGGTGCAGCGGGATCGCTGATAAGGGAGTTGCCATGGTCACTGGGCTTGGCAGTGGTCACTTCCTGCCTGACTTTACTCTCCTGACCTATAAAGTGTGCTGTGTCTCTGCCATGTCCTCCCCAGTGCTGGGAATCAATGACAGCATCTATGGTGATGGATACTCTTTTTATAAGTGGGGGATCTGAATTCTGCTCCTGTGCCTCCCACGAACCAGTAACTCTGTGATGTTGGGTGAGGGCCTCTGTTTCACTGTCTACACTGAGGTTCAGATGTAAAATTCTCTGACTTTAAGAGACATTGTGATGTGTTCATATTCATTGTGTCTCACCAGTCAGTCATTATGACCCGGGCATTGTGGCAAGTGTTAAGAGTTGAGCAGTTGCTTTCAACAGACCCAGTCAAAGGGTTGTGGATACTCTGTGTTTAGGGTGGCATCCAGCCTTCTGTTGATATGCAGTTGAGTTTTTCTCAAAGGGGAAAGAAATTGGCTTTGAAATGTTGGCTTGCAAGTACTTTAAACTACCTAGCCAGCTGTGGTGTACACCTGAGTTCCTTAAAAGTGTATTTTATTTTCTCTTCCTCCTCTCCCCCTCTCTCTTCCTCTCTCTCCTCCTCTTCCTTTCTTCTTTTTTCTTTTGGACAATGGGGTTTTGCTCTGTTCCAGGCTAGCCTCAAACTCCTTGGTCTCCAGCAGTCCTCCTACCTCAGCCTCATAAGTGTCTGGGACTACAAACACGTCCCACTGCACTGGGCTGAGAGCAGCTCTGCTTTCATCTCTGTCCCTAATGCCTGACATAGTAAGCACTTTCTCCTAGAATATATAACAAGAAGAATGCCAAAGAGGTTAAAGACAAAGACAAAAATAGTCAAAACAGGAGGCTCTTTCAGGGCCTAAGATGCCCAGGCAACAAGGTGGACAATTTGAGACTCTGGGCTTTGCAGATCCCAGTACAAGGTTGGGACCATACAGACATGCTCCTTAGGGCCTTGTGTGATTGGGCTGACTACCTCTAACCTGCTGTCCTTTTGTATTGCAGCAACATGGCCAATGCCCTGGCCAGCGCCACCTGTGAGCGCTGCAGAGGGGGCTTTGCACCTGCTGAAAAGATTGTGAATAGCAACGGCGAGCTGTACCATGAACCCTGCTTCGTGTGTGCCCAGTGCTTCCAGCCCTTCCCTGAAGGGCTTTTCTACGAGGTGAGTCAGGCGGGCCCCTTCTTCCTTAGGTCTCCCCCTCTCCTGCAAGTCTACGTCGGGGACAGGGCTTCAGTGGGGCCCCAGCTGTGGACTGGGGCTGTCCTGTGCAAAGAAGGGAGGAAACCCTAGGGCGGGGCAGTGCCTGGAGGGCATCACTGCTGGCTGCAGACCTAATGCTGGGGGTTGGACCAAGGCCCAACTGCAGCTGATAAGGAAAGAAGTGACACTTCTATGACTTAGCATCTTTAATGGACATCATCCTCTGTGATTAGGGGAGTCACACATCCTAGGGCCTCACACCAGCTGGCCAGCAGACACAGGTCAAGGAGACAGTGACCACAGCTGTCCCTCACTGAGGAGATCGTGACCCAGGACTCACTGTGACTAAGAGGTGGTCACAGTCCCAGATCTGCACAGTTAATTTGGGGCCACTTGGGTGGTCTAGTTGACTTTCAGAAGCAATTATACAAGGCAGATGTCTGCAAGGACCACACTGTGCTCTGGGGAGGTAGAGCTGGAAAGTGTTCCCTTGATGCATCCTCTTCTTACCCTCTTCACTTCTGAGGGAACATCAGCTGATGTTCACCGTGTTTGCATAGGGCTCTAAGCGAGACTGGTTTTCACCTCCTCTCCTTGGGCCGCTCTCCCAACCTTTCCCCTGTAACTCCTTATGTCCGGAGGTTGGAGCAGCTTTGATTCACAGGTATGTGACTGAAAGCGATTGCCACCTCCGTCAGAGTGGGTTCCCTGTGGGAACCCCCTGGGCATCTTCTCAGAGGTAAGATGTATCACTGTAATAGTGACTGAGCCCAGGGAGCCCCAGAGATCGATCCAGGGAATAGCAGTTGCTCTTCCAGTTCCTACCTTGGCTCCCTGCCTGCTGTTCTTTCCCATCCCTCCCCTGCACATGTACAGGTACTGGGGCTGGGCACTTCACTGCTGACTCCTGCTTCTGCCTTGACGGCAGCAGCCACACTGAGCAGGGTGATGCTGACTCACCCTGCCCTCCTGCCACCCTCCCTCCCCTGGGCTGTGACTATAAATACCTCCCAGGGTTATTCCAGAAGATGCGCTGGGTGTTGCCCAGCCTAAACTCAGGGGCTGAAGGAAGGTTTCTATTTTTAGCTACAATGTTTATGATTAATTTACTTTTCCAGACCACAGACTTGTAACCTGCTCCTAGTGCAGCAGTCCCCAACCATTTTGGCTAGGGACCAGTTTCCATGAAAGACGTTTTTTTTCCATGGATGGGGGAGAAGAGTCATTTGGGGATTATTCAAGCACATTACAATTATTGTTCACATTATTTCTATTATTGTTTTTTTTTTTTGGTACCAGGAATTGAACTTGGGTCCTTGCGCTTGCGAGGCAGGCAGCGGAACCACTGAGCTAAATCCCTAGCCCATTATTTCTATTATTAACTATAATATGTAATGAAATAATTATACAGCTTACCATAATGTAGGATCAGTGGGACCCTTGAGCTTGTCTTCCTACAACTAGACGATCCTGTATGGACAAGATAGGCAACAGTGACCCCCAAAGTATGTTGCTTAAGTCCCATCTACTCAGTAATCTCACTTTGGTTGCTGTCACTGCAGAAAACCCCACTTCACAAAGATAGGAGACATAATGTCTACCACCAGATGCACCTGTACAATTGAAGGACATCAGAGCAATTCCAGTAGCATGTCAAGGTTCTTAGCATTTTCAGACAAGGCCAATTGCAGAGAGACTGTAAATGGTGTGTGATTACTGACCTCGACATGTAGGATTGTAAATGATGCTGAAAGAATAATGTGTCAGTACTATGGCTCCCATAGTACTATAGCCTCCCATACACTGCTGCAGCCTCCACTCATCCTCCAGTGTGCAAGAAGGATGACATGTCAAGTGACCACTCAGTGGTGGCATCAGGAAGCTGACCGCCTGCCATTTCCTGGGAAGGTGCCCATGTAGCTGTGGTGGCTCCTAAGTATGGCTTTGTGGACCCTTGATTATCTCCAGTAAAGGGAGGGCCTTTGTTTTTCCTGAAGAACCACCACTTCAGAGTGATCCAGAAGAATGTCAGATCTGTATGGTCTGAACCTAGAACCAGGGGCCTTGGGCACTGTGCCTGGCCTGCATTTGGGCCAGGTTCTTGTTGCTGCCTCAGATTATCCTTGTTTGGGATCCCCTGTGTGCCTTTTCCCATCACAGGATGACTAACAGGAAAGGCCCATTTCTAGTGGGTGGTTTAGGGGCAAGATGACTGACAAAGTGCACTCAGCACTTTGGTCCTTGTCCTGTGGACCCAAGGAGGTCGGTGAGCATGGCAGTGGGCACTTCCCATGCTGCCCCACCCCGACCTCAGCAGCTTGTGGCAAACAATGGAAATCATGTTTTCACTTGGGTTGAAACAAGATCATCAACTATGGCCCCAGTTCCAGCCTGACTGCCAGAATTTATGGTGTGGAGTCTGTGTTTCCTGGCTTCACGAGACTCAAGGGACTGTTTGGAATCCTTTTGATTTGCTTGACAATACATTTGTATCCATTAAAGGAGCCTAAACTCCTGTTGTGATGACTTGCTCCAGGACACCTACCACAGAGCCTCCATGAGTACTTCTCCCAGGGAGCATCCTCTGTGCTTGGCTTTGGGGACTGTGCTGGACATTCTGTATTTGGGGACGTGGTCAGTTTGGGGGCTCTGGGCTGTAGCCACGACATCGTTCCTTTTAGGGTTTTGCCCTTCTTATCCCCTAATTTCAAAAGAACTCACTCTTTTTAAGGAAGAGTCCTGTGAGCAAGGCAGCACAGGGGGAGAGGGGAGCAGCCACCTGAGGCCACATGGGTGGCCACAGGCAATCTGGTCATGCCCTTTGTTCCTGTCTCTTGCCATGGCTTTCCTTTTTTTTCCTGAGATAGGGTCTCTCTATGTAGCCCAGGCTGGCCTTGAACTCACAGCGATTCTCCTACCTCAGCCTCCTGAGTGTTGGCATTATAATTGTGTGCCATCATGCTTGGCAGCCTTAAAAGTTTTACTCAGAGTCTGGGGTGTATCTCAGTGATGAGGTACTTACCTAATACGTGCAAGGTCCTTGATTCAATTCCCAATACTTCAAAAACTTATTCAAATTATAATGAATCTTAATTTTATGTCACCTTATATAGTGTTTATATTCATTCTCTACCTTCTGCTGACAGATGTGTGTGTTAACGGCTGTGAGCTTTGTTTTGTTTTAACCTATCTACATCTGTTTTTTACCAGTATACATCATCTTATTCAACACAGTGAAACTTGATCATTTCTAACTAAGTTAATGGAATTGAGTTTTCTTGATTTCTGAGTTCAATTACTAGTAAATGCTAAACATCCAATTTTTGTTTATACCAAATCGAATTCAGTGGTTAGGTTCAATGTTAGGTTCAGTGGTTAGATTAAACTTAACCTAATATTGACCTTATAAACAGAAATTTGATTTGGTTCTCATCCAGTTCAGTTGTGACCAGAATCATGGAAAGAATTAAGTTTGTGAACCAAGCATTACTGTATCAAATATATTAGAGCTCATTCTTCTGAATTTAAGATTGAAATAAAACTTTCTGGCAGAAAACAAATTACTTTGACTCATTTGATAGTGAAAACTGACTTTAACAATTGAGTTGTGGTGGATATATTCACCAAAAATGCAGATTGTATCTACAACTATAATGGCAAAATTGGATAGACAACTAACACATCATTAAAAATAAATTTTGGGGGCCGGGAATTTAGCTCAATGGTTCCACTGCCTCCCTCACAAGCTCAAGGACCCAAGTTCAATCCCTGGTACCAAAAAAAAACCCAAAAAACAAATTTTGGGGTTTTTTTGTTTTTGTTTTTATTTTTGTACGAGGAAATGAACTCAGGACCTTGCACTTTCTAGGCAGGCACCAGAACCACTGAGCTAAATCCCCAGCCCTAAAACCAAATTTTGGTGATCAAATAATACACAACTTTTGGCATGTAACCTGTGAGGAGCTCAAAGAGTCAAGAGGAGACATTATTGTAAAATTCCTGTGATTTATTTCTATGAAAGATTAGCCATCTTTAAAAACAGAGTGAATGAAATGTAAACAGTTCAAGAGGAAAAATGAAGGCTATACACTTTCCAGCTGCTAACATGAATGCTTGTTCATTTCGTTGTTTTGTTTTGAAATGGACGCAGTGTTGCCCAGGCTGGGTTCAGCCAGCCCTCCCACCTCAGTTTCCTGAGCAGCTGGGGCATGTGTGCTTGCCAGCTACACCCATTGTTGATGGTTTTGAATCGGTTTGGGACATTTCCAGATATTAGTATTAAAAGTATGCTAAAATATTTACCCTTTGTAAATATTTATGTATACAGTGAAAAAGTCTGTATGGACAAAAAAATGTGGAAGCGGGCCGGGGATTTAGCTCAGTGGTTCCCCTGCCTGCCTCGCAAGCGCAAGGACCCGAGTTCAATCTCCAGTACCAAAAAAAACCTATGTGGGAGGCCTTGGTCCACATATACATATTTTCTGGGCTGAGGAGTCCACAGCTTTCATCTGATTGGTAAAGGTGACATGTGAGCAGAAAAGCAAGCACAGTCTGAGGAGGCCAGGCTCCAGGCACTGTGTCCTGGGCTAAGTGCACCTTGTATGTTGTTCCCACTCCAGCAGGACAGTGTGTGGAAGGTCCTATACTTTACTTACTTAGAGCCCTGAATTTTTAGGGCAGAGCTCTTACTTGCAAACCACTTTCCTAGATGTCTCCATGAAACAGTTGCATCCCTTTTCTTCCAGTTTGAAGGCAGGAAGTATTGTGAACATGACTTCCAGATGCTCTTTGCTCCTTGTTGCCACCAGTGTGGTAAGTTTTACTGTCAAATGTGAAAAAGCAACTTTCCAGTTGCCTAAGCTGTTTAAAATACTACAGTGCTGATGGGGAAGCTGGGTTTTGGTGCTCATAATATAAATACCATGAGAGGTACTTTATCTGCTCCCTTCCCTATTTTTAACATACAACAACTGCAAAGTGTCTAGTCCTAGAGAGAACTAGTCATATAGATAGCAGAGCAGGTGTTCTCAGCAGAGCAGGTGGCTGGAGTTGTCCCCTGGCAGGGAAGCTCTGTGTGGATGAAATACCCCAGTCGCCCACAGGGGTCACCTCATTGATTGCCAGCAGTCTGTCAGACTGTTGGTAGGGACTGGTGAACCCAAGTAGAATGTGATAAAGGTTTAGTGGAGAAAATTAAGTAAAAATTATAAGAAAATGTGCAGTGGGGACATGAGTTAATGCAGTGGGTGATGCATGTGCTTAGCCAGGTCCTAGGTTCAATCCCCAGCACCTAATAAAACCAAAGAAAAGAAGATAATGAAGAAAAGAAAATATGCTGTGAATTCCAGTTGTCTATGTCAGAAATGCCCCAAAATATCCAAAAGATATCAAGAGAGTCTAGGACATTAAAAGGAAAACCAGATTCAAATGTGATAAAAATAGCCCAAAAATATGGTTCCAGGATCAAACCCAAGGATTCCCATGAAATAAAGGCCATTTTTCTTATGCGTTGCTTACTCTAGGAGATATCATTTAGAAGTCCTCCTTTAGGAAACATAGCCTATTTAATAAATGGTGTTGGAAAAACTGGATTTCAACCTGCCAAGAATTGTTAGACCCATATCTATCACCATGCACTAAACTAAGATCGAAGTGGATTAAAGATCAAATATTAAAACAGAAACACTAAACTTTCTAGATGATAAGTTAGGTAGAACTCTTGAAGACATTGGCATAGGAAAAGACTTTATGAGCAAAACCTCAGTAGCACGGGAACTAGCAGAAAGAATCAACAATTGGGATCTCATCTTATTAAAAAGCTTCTGCACTGCAAGAGAAACCACCAACAGAGCTAAGAGACAA